TATGCTCTAGTCTCATTCTGACCACAGAAAACTATCATTGTACCAAACAATCTGCTAGCTAGTTAGATACGATAGTTTGGTATGCTCTAGTCTCATTCTGACCACAGCAAACTATCATTGTACCAAACAATCTGCTAGCTAGTTAGATACGATGGTTTGGTATGCTCTAGTCTCATTCTGACTACAGAAAACTGTCATTGTACCAAACAATCTGCTAGCTAGTTAGATACGATGGTTTGGTATGCTCTAGTCTCATTCTGACCACAGAAAACTATCATTGTACCAAACAATCTGCTAGCTAGTTAGATACGATGGTTTGGTATGCTCTAGTCTCATTCTGACCACAGAAAACTGTCACTGTACCAAACTATCTACTAGCTAGTTAGACACGATAGTTTGGTATGATCTAGTCTCATTCTGACTGCAGAAAACTGTCACTGTACCAAACTATCTACTAGCTAGTTAGACACGATAGTTTGGTATGATCTAGTCTCATTCTGATCAAAGAAAACTGTCATTGTACCAAACAATCTACTAGCTAGTTAGACACGATAGTTTGGTATAATCTAGTCCAATTCTGACTACAGAAAACTATCATTGTATCAATCAATCTACTAGCTAGTTAGACACGATAGTTTGATATGTTCTAGTCTCATTCTGACTACAGAAAACTGTCATTGTACCAAACAATCTGCTAGCTAGTTAAATATGATAGTTTGGTATGCTCTAGTCTCATTCTGACCAAAGAAAACTGTCATTATACCAAACAATCTACTAGCTAGTTAGATACAATAGTTTGGTATGATCTAGTCTCATTCTGACCACAGCAAACTATCATTGTACCAAACAATCTGCTAGCTAGTTAGATACGATGGTTTGGTATGCTCTAGTCTCATTCTGACTACAGAAAACTATCATTGTACCAAACAATCTGCTAGCTAGTTAGATACGATGGTTTGGTATGCTCTAGTCTCATTCTGACTACAGAAAACTATCATTGTACCAAACAATCTGCTAGCTAGTCAGATACGATGGTTTGGTAAACTCTAGTCTCATTCTGACCACAGAAAACTGTCACTGTACCAAACTATCTACTAGCTAGTTAGACACGATAGTTTGGTATGATCTAGTCTCATTCTGACCAAAGAAAACTGTCATTATACCAAACAATCTACTAGCTAGTTAGACACGATAGTTTGGTATAATCTAGTCCAATTCTGACTACAGAAAACTGTCATTGTACCAAGCAATCTACTAGCTAGTTAGACACGATAGTTTGGTATGTTCTAGTCACATTCTGACTACAGAAAACTATCATTGTATCAATCAATCTACTAGCTAGTTAGACACGATAGTTTGATATGTTCTAGTCTCATTCTGACTACAGAAAACTGTCATTGTACCAAACAATCTGCTAGCTAGTTAGATACGATGGTTTGGTATGATCTAGTCTCATTCTGACTAAAGAAAACTGTCATTGTACCAAACAATCTGCTAGCTAGTTAGACAAGACAGTTTGATATGCTCTAGTCCAATTCTGACCACAGAAAACTGTCATTGTACCATACAATCTACTCGATAGTTGGACAGGATAGTTTGGTGTACTCAAGTCTCATTCTGACCAAAGAAAACTGTCATTATACCAAACAATCTGCTAGCTAGTTAGACAAGATAGTTTGATATGCTCTAGTCCAATTCTGACTACAGAAAACTGTCATTGTACCATACAATCTACTCGATAGTTGGACAGGATAGTTTGGTGTACTCAGGTCTCATTCTGACCAAAGAAAACTGTCATTATACCAAACAATCTGCTAGCTAGTTAGATACAATAGTTTGATATGCTCTAGTCTCATTCTGACCAAATAAAACTGTCATTGTACCAAACAATCTACTCGCTAGTTAGACACGATAGTTTGGTATGATCTAGTCTCATTCTGACTACAGAAAACTATCATTGTATCAAACAATCTATTAGCTAGTTAGACGCGATAGTTTGGTATACTCTAGTCTCATTCTGACCAAATAAAACTGTCATTATACCAAACAATCTGCCAGCTAGTTGGACATGATAGTTTGATATGCTCTAGTCTGATTCTGACTACAGAAAACTGTCATTGTACCAAACAATCTACTAGCTAGTTAGACACGATAGTTTGGTATGATCTAGTCTCATTCTGACTACAGAAAACTATCACTGTATCAAACAATCTATTAGCTAGTTAGACAAGATAATTTGGTATGTTCTAGTCTCATTCTGACTACAAAAAACTATCATTGTATCAAACAATCTATTAGCTAGTTAGACGCGATAGTTTGGTATGCTCTAGTCTCATTCTGACTACAGAAAACTATCATTGTACCAAACAATCTACTAGCTAGTTAGACAAGATAGTTTGGTATGCTCTAGTCCCATTCTACTACAGAAAACTGTCATTGTACCAAACAATCTGCTAGCTATTTAGACACGATAGTTTGGTATGCTCTAGTCCAATTCTGACTACAGAAAACTGTTATTGTACACTACGAAGCAATCTGCTAGCTATTTTTTTTTATGAGAATTGGAATATCAGCCTCAAAATAGTACATTTGCGTTGATATATTTCTAGTTTACATTTGAAAGAAACACAATCCTAAATTTCAGGCCTAATTTTTATCAACGCGAAGACATTCCAAACAACTAACAGTACGATTTTGACTCTGATATTCAAATTAATATAAAAATAATGGAAAATTATTTTACTTTGCTCATAGACAATTCATTTATTCTCACTACAGACAACAGAATTGTCGCTTCACACTCGGACAAATTTCACCCATTACACACTGCATGGTAGTAGCAAGAGAAAATATTCGTTTATTTTAGCGACCGCTAAAAATATCTACTTCAAATGCTAAAATCAGTCCTCTATTTGGGAATAGGTATTAAGTCCAAGTATAATCCGTATTGTTTTTACCGGAAGTAATGTGGTGTTAAAGAAACGAAAGTAGGAAAATGTCGCTGTTTAGGACAGGTTGTGTTATATTTGATTAATAAGCCATTTAAACATGTATTTTGAAGCCATCTATGATGATTATTCCCGATCCCAAGCCCTCCACATTGAGAAAACTATTTGATGATTGGGAATTGACCTTTTTTTGCATTTTCCTGACATTATGAGTTAGCTGACTTCACAATGTCAAACCATGAGCACACCGTTTAATACCTTGACATCATTAAACACTTTTCTTGTCTTAAAAACGCACCGCAACTGTTGACAGGCCTTGAATAATATACTATTTAAGATGTATTAGGGTAATCAAATGCCTTATTAGAAACTAGTCGAAATCACTGACATACGATAAGACATGATCCAATTGTGAACTTACCTTGTGTTGAAATCATCAAATATGCACGCATTATCAACCAACACTGTTTCATTTGTGGTTCAGTCAACTTGTCAACAAAACAAAAGTCAACTCGTCTACAAAACAAAAGTCAACTCGTCTACAAAACAAAAGGCATTTCGTCTACAAACCAAAATTCAACTCGTCTACAAACCAAAATTCAACTCGTCTATAAACCAAAAGACAACTCGTCTACAAAAATGATTGAAATAAAGATTTTGTCAACGAGTTGACTGGTAGATCTAATTTTTCATTTATCATGGAACCAGAACTGAGATCAAGAATGTGTCAAGCCCATTCTTTCATTGGAGATTGGAAACTTTGGGAGGTTAAGCTTACATCACAGTTGTTTATAAAATTAGCATCACAATGATTATATCAAAATTTAGAGAATTTCAAGGGGAATTACTCTAAAATGAAATGAAAATTTCACAAGTAGCACTTAAACACCTTCTTAATTTCAGCCCTTCAATTTTGAACTTAACAAGGTCCCAGAACTTTTAAACAATAAGTGAAATTGGTAAATATTAAACCAAATGACAGTAAAACTAATATTTTAAATTTACTGAAATCATTACAGGAAAGAGTTTTATACCAAATGTTAACCAAGTCAGATGTAGAAGTAAATTGAATATTCAGAGACCGAAAGTAGAAATTCTGCCACGAAGAATTTTAAAAGCTGTGACAGAACCTATTCTTATACCTAAGAAAGTAGATGTAGCTGAACGCTGTGCCAGAAAGAATACTTTTTATGTTCCTAAAAGAAAGTTTGAGGTAATTTATTTATATATGGCAAGCTAAATGTCATGCAAAGACTTTATATAGCAAGCTAAATGTCATGCAAAGACTTTATATAGCAAGCTAAATGTCATGCAAAGACTTTATATAGAAAGCTAAATGTCATGCAAAGACTTTATATAGCAAGCTAAATGTCATGCAAAGACTTTATATAGCAAGCCAAATGTCATGCAAAGACTTTATATGGCAAGCTAAATGTCATGCAAAGACTTTATATAGCAAGCTGAATGTCATGCAAAGACTTTATATAGCAAGCCAAATGTCATGCAAAGACTTTATATGGCAAGCTAAATGTCATGCAAAGACTTTATATAGCAAGCTAAATGTCATGCAAAGACTTTATATAGCAAGCCAAATGTCATGCAAAGACTTTATATAGCAAGCTAAATGTCATGCAAAGACATTATATAGCAAGCTAAATGTCATGCAAAGACTTTATATAGCAAGCTAAATGTCATGCAAAGACTTTATATAGCAAGCTAAATGTCATGCAAAGACTTTATATAGCAAGCTAAATGTCATGCAAAGACTTTATATAGCAACCTAAATGTCATGCAAAGACTTTATATAGCAAGCTAAATGTCATGCAAAGACTTTATATAGCAAGCTAAATGTCATGCAAAGACTTTATATAGCAAGCTAAATGTCATGCAAAGACTTTATATAGCAAGCTAAATGTCATGCAAAGACTTTATATAGCAAGCTAAATGTCATGCAAAGACTTTATATAGCAAGCTAAATGTCATGCAAAGACTTTATATAGCAAGCTAAATGTCATGCAAAGACTTTATATAGCAAGCTAAATGTCATGCAAAGACTTTATATAGCAAGCTGAATGTCATGCAAAGAGCAAGTTCTCTCATTAAAGGAATGTCTATGTCTTGGAAAATTTTCCATCATTGCTCACTGCATAGCCTACTATTTAGTAAAGTGGGTGGTAAAACCCTACTAAAAGATTTAAATGGACTGTAAAGAGATTTTGTAGCCTTTTTATGTGTATCTGGGACACCTGTGACTTCTGTTTGGGATATATTTAAGTTTAAACGGAATGGAAGAGTTGTATGATATTTGTGTAGAGAGCTAAATATCCTTATTTATGATAAAATGGTCTGTTTTGAATACAGTCAGGAGAAAATTTGGTAAATCAAGTCAGTCCAGAAATAGCACTTAGTATCATACAACTCATCAAACTTTTAAAATGAAGCAATATAAGAAGAGTATATAAGGGGACGGTGAAACTAAAAGTGAATGAGTCATCAATTTATAGTTAGAAATTCTGCCATCTTGTTAGGGGAGATAACACATATTATTATATGTTATTGTGGTCTGGTAGTAGGATAGTTATGAATTCTCTGCCAGGAACTGAGTCCTGTGACTCTTTCTGGAATTGCAGGAACCACAGGCATTAGATGAAGAATTGAAATAGAAGTCTAATGTGTCCCAGATACACATAAAAAGGCTAGAAAATCTCTTTACAATCCCTTTAAGAGTGATTATGCACTGGTTTATAGAATATATTTTGTGAAACATCTTAATTGTCTAAAAACTGCTTCGATTTTGTGGTGAAAAAAATTAAAAATCTGAATAGATTTTAGAAATAACCAATACAAATGAATTTACAAAACTTATAAAGCTATTTATAAAAAGCGATGACCTTGTTGATTCTTCTTTATCAATGAATGAATTTTATTATATTAATTGTTTTGAAAGTATATTTTATCATATTATTTATTACTGTCCATTTAATACTAATAGATATATTCCATTCTATTGATGTATCTATTGATTACTTGGTTTCAATACTGAATAGATCTATCTATCTATCTAAAAACAAAACAGTTCACTATTAAAATAGTGCTCAATATATCAATTGTAGAGTGATATAGAAATACCACTGTTAAAATAGTACTCAATACATCAATTGTAGAGTGATATAGAAATACCACTGTTAAAATAGTGCTCAATACATCAATTGTAGAGCTATATAGAAATACCACTGTTAAAATAGTGCTCAATACATCAATTGTAGAGCGATATAGAAATACCACTGTTAAAATAGTGCTCAATATATCAATTGTATAGCTATATAGAAATACCACTGTTAAAATAGTGCTCAATATATCAATTGTAGAGTGATATAGAAATATCACTGTTAAAATAGTGCTCAATACATCAATTGTAGAGTGATATAGAAATACCACTGTTAAAATGGTGCTCAATACATCAATTGTAGAGCGATATAGAAATATCACTGTTAAAATAGTGCTCAATACATCAATTGTAGAGTGATATAGAAATACCACTGTTAAAATGGTGCTCAATACATCAATTGTAGAGCGATATAGAAATACCACTGTTTAAATAGTGTTTAATACATCAATTGTAGAGAGATATAGATATACCATTGTTAAAATAGTGCTCAATACATCAATTGTAGAGCGATATAGAAATACCACTGTTTAAATAGTGTTTAATACATCAATTGCAGAGTGATATAGAAATATCACTGTTAAAATAGTGCTCAATACATCAATTGTAGAGAGATATAGAAATACCACTGTTAAAATAGTGCTCAATACATCAATTGTAGAGCGATATAGAAATACCACTGTTTAAATAGTGTTTAATACATCAATTGTAGAGTGATATAGAAATACCACTGTTAAAATAGTGCTCAATACATCAATTGTAGAGTGATATAGAAATACCACTGTTAAAATAGTGCTCAATACATCAATTGTAGAGTGATATATAAATCTATCTATCTACGGTATATAGATAGTAAACCTGTAGATAGCTTGACCAACTGTTATGTGAATAGTTTTTAATTAACCAATTATAATATAATTCTATAAATTATGAATTCCAGGTGAATGAATATGAAGAGTTCTTATTTAGAACATGTCAGAATGATTTAGACCAGAATAAGATGGTGATTATTTGTCAGTCCATGCCGTGTCTATTAAGAGATTATAATAAAACTAAGAATAAATTCAGTGGAATTGATATGATAATGGTGAAAATCAATAATAAACTTATGATGTAAGTTGTTCCCAAGTTTTTTAAACGACTCAAAACAAGTTCTCCCTTATATTACAAAGTTTTTAGATTAGGAAGTTTCAAAAACCATTAAAGATGGGTTTCCTTATTTTTTAGTGTCAAAATAAGCAGTCTTTTTGATTATTTGGTGTTTCTAATGAATTATCATGTTTTCTTAATCATATCATTGTATTCTTATTGCATATTATTAAGAGTTTTAACCAATCATGAATATACATGTATGTACAGTCTGGATAAACTAAAAAAGACTTTTTGATCTTTCTTGATAGGTCACTCATTGGAATTCTGCTGGTAATTTGGCTAATTATGAGACAAAACCGAATTTTTCTAAGTTATTAGAACATCTCTACATTCTGTTCATATAACATTTAAATTCTAGACACTAACTTACTACTGATATTCTATTCTAGACACTAACTTTATTACTGATATTCTATTCTAGACACTAACTTTACTACTGATATTCTATTCTAGACACTAACTTTACTACTGATATTCTATTCTAGACACTAACTTTACTACTGATATTCTATTCTAGACACTAACTTTACTACTGATATTCTATTCTAGACACTAACTTTACTACTGATATTCTATTCTAGACACTAACTTTACTACTGATATTCTATTCTAGACACTAACATTACTACTGATATTCTATTCTAGACACTGACTTTACTACTGATATTCTATTCTAGACACTAACTTTACTACTGATATTCTATTCTATACACTAACTTTACTACTGATATTCTATTCTAGACACTAACTTTACTACTGATATTCTATTCTAGACACTAACTTTACTAATAATATTATATTCTAGACACTAACTTTACTAATGATATTATATTCTAGACACTAACTTTACTACTGATATTCTATTCTAGACACTAACTTTACTACTGATATTCTATTCTAGACACTAACTTTACTACTGATATTCTATTCTAGACACTAACTTTACTACTGATATTCTATTATAGACACTAACTTTACTACTGATATTCTATTCTAGACACTAACTATACTACTGATATTCTATTCTAGACACTAACTTTACTACTGATATTCTATTCTAGACACTAACATTATTACTGATATTCTATTCTAGACACTAACTTTACTACTGATATTCTATTCTAGACACTAACTTTACTACTGATATTCTATTCTAGACACTAACATTATTACTGATATTCTATTCTAGACACTAACTATACTACTGATATTCTATTCTAGACACTAACTTTACTACTGATATTCTATTCTAGACACTAACTTTACTACTGATATTCTATTCTAGACACTAACATTACTACTGATATTCTATTCTAGACACTAACTTTACTACTGATATTCTATTCTAGACACTAACATTACTACTGATATTCTATTCTAGACACTAACATTACTACTGATATTCTATTCTAGACACTGACTTTACTACTGATATTCTATTCTAGACACTGACTTTACTACTGATATTCTATTCTATACACTAACTTTACTACTGATATTCTATTCTAGACACTAACTTTACTACTGATATTCTATTCTAGACACTAACTTTACTACTGATATTCTATTCTAGACACTAACTTTACTACTGATATTCTATTCTAGACACTGACTTTACTACTGATATTCTATTCTAGACACTAACATTACTACTGATATTCTATTCTAGACACTGACTTTACTACTGATATTCTATTATAGACACTAACTTTACTACTGATATTCTATTCTAGACACTAACTTTACTACTGATATTCTATTCTAGACACTAACTTTACTACTGATATTCTATTCTAGACACTAACTTTACTACTGATATTCTATTCTAGACACTAACTTTACTAATGATATTCTATTCTAGACACTAACTTTACTAATGATATTATATTTTAGGCGAGCTATAACAGGAACTAGAAGAGAGAACCTGTTGCCGTTGTTAGTGGGGTCCAGTGTGTATATACTCAGTTCAGACGTGCGTATAAAAGAAGCTATGACTCTGTTGAAGAAAGTAAATCATCTAGTTGTTATGGGTTGGTATAAATCTTTATTTACAAGATATTTATCATCTCACCATCACTCTGTTACACTAATAGTCTCCAGTTTGCTTAACTACAAAGCAGGGGAAAGCCGACTTCTAAACTGTTTTGTGAAACCACGTGGGGCATAATCTTTCCGAAAGCGAAGTAAGTAGAAAGAAATAAACCCACCTTAGTTTTTGTGAGAGAAAAGACCTTTTTATTTTCAATATGAAACGATTATTTTGTATTCTTGCAGGTATATTAACAGATGATCATATATTATCACATGAAGATGCCGTACGACTGGCACAAACTGATCTGGAAACACAGCGTGGACAGTTGGTATCGTTATTAGGCCAAGGTGCTTCCAAAACATATTCATTATTAAACAGTCATCAATCGAACCTAGTGAGAAATCTAGAACAGTATATCAGACAATCAGACCAGTCTTCTCCTGATCAATAACAGTGTTTATCTAGACTTAATTAAACCCTGGGTTCTCACCTTCTCTTCATGTTCGTTTACAAAAAAACAGTGTTACCGATTTAATCAACTGCGAACACCAGAATGATCACACCAGGCATGTTGATGACATTTGTGTTTAGGACACATTAAGTTTTGATCATGTAGATGATCATGTGAATATTTAAAAAAAAAATCAGAATAAATTTCTAGCTGGTAGTTTTGATATATGCTATTGAGCTCTATCAGTTGATAAAGTAAAATAATGTAGACCAGGGGCCGGTTTCACAAAGCTTGCGATCGCCGTAAGATTGAGACCAAGTGTATTTTCGAAACGATCTTAGCGCTAGGATGTCGTATGTTCTTATATATGTTCTTAACATTGATTCTACGATATCCTAACGCTAAGATCGTTTCAAGAATACGTAAATTGTAGCCCGTCACTACGTTGACACCAACTTACGCCAATATGTCGACGTCAACCTACGTCTATATAAGTCGACGTCAACAAAGGTCAATATGACCACGTCAAATAACGTCAAAAAGTCGACGTCAACTGTCTATTTCAGCTAATAAATTGACATCAACTAACATTCATAAGTCGATGCGCACTTACGTCAATTAGTCGACGGAACTTACTTCGGTTAGTCCACGTCAAAAAGTCGACGTCAAGTTACGGAAATAAGGCGAGGTACACTAATGTCAATTAGTGAACGATAATCAATGAAGACGTTTATTAACTAATATCAAATAGTCGACGTTAATTGATTTCGTTGCCTGATTGAGTCTGGTCGTATTATGTTGTCTTGTGTGGTGTTCTGTTGCTTTCATAAGCAGTTAATTAAACAAGTAAACCATTGTTTAGAATGTGAATAGGCTTTTTTCAATAAAAGAAGACCATAACTGATATGGAGACCCCCAAGGCCAGTAGCCAGACTCGATTGTTCAAGGGGAAATAATATATCCAGTGGGGCAATGGTATTTTGTTGCAGTATTGAAATTGGTTGCTTGTCAGAATTTTTAAGGTGGCAATGCCAACCCTCGTTCCTACTTTCCCTGCGACCCCTTTAAATTTTAGCATATTTTGTAAACAGATGTATATGAGCTATGTAGTTGATATCAGTCATACATCTAATGATATAGAATATAATGTTGGTGTATTCTTAATTTGAATATCAATGACAACTCATTGCCATGGTAACTAACAGCATGGAAGGTAAAACAATTCAAATTTTTGACCCGATTTAAACAAAATAAACCTAAAAAACCTTGACCCCACGTGACTTTCTCGTATGGGCGGAAGTTGTTGAAGACTGTCAACTTTGATCATCGAAACTATACATGGTTCTTACATAGAAATAACACACACTTCCTTTAACTAGTACCTTGTTTTATCATAAATCTTTACTTTGTGACCTTGGCCAGTGCTTTCATGAGACTATGTTCTCATCACCATCTAACACAACCGTAGTTTACAGCCATTGATAATAACTTCTTCGATTAAATAAGTCATATTTCTTTAAAAAAAACTACAATATTTCAACAAAGTCTTACATTTTAAAACCTGTAAATGTCATTTGAAGGCGTTGTTGAAACAGTGTAGCCTTTTAAAAAAAAATATGACTTATTAAGTCGAGGGAGAGATTCAAAATGGTTGTGAACTATGTTAGTGTGTGTTATTTCTATATAAGAACCATTAGTAGTTTCCTATGAGCATTTGATGTCGGTAAGAATATTCAAATCAAAATGAAAGTCTAAATTGGATAAAAGTACCCGGTTTCTTGCCGACCAGTCAGGCTGGTCAGTCTTCATCGCTGGGTTTGAAGTCTGAGTGAAGTAAAATGTTTTTTGATTATTTTTATGAGTATTACAATATCAGCCTCAAAATAGTACTGTTAGCCTTTGAATGTCTTTGATAAAAATATAAACATAAGCACACATTACGCCTTCAAAACGGTTTTTACAGAGGAAAATTTAGAACCACAAAGAACGAAATATCTGGGAGAGAAAAAAGTTTCTTTTCAATGTAATGCATAGTGACCCGTTAGCTCCTTGCAGACTTGAGGGCAATAGTATGGTTAGGGTTTAGCGGGGTGAGGTGGGGGGTTGGGGGTGCCGTCCCCTGGAAAAGTTTGTTATGTTGAAATCCGGAGGACATATTTAAAGCTATTTCAGACATGAAAGTAGAATATTATTTCCATTTTTATGTTCCAAAAGGGGCAATGACCTAAAAATTATTTATACGCAACTGGACATTCTAAAACTATTCTACTATTTTGAGGCTGATATTCAAATTCTCTTTAAAAATATTTTGCTTTGTTTACACTATAAAAAAAAGGCTGAATTGACTCGTCCACAGGGGATAATATTTCTTTACAAGGATACGTTTTGGTGTTGACCTAGACCGAAACATCTGCCTCTATTCCAGCCTCTGATAGCTATTTGGACAGATGTCAGCTGGTGTAGAGACAGAAAAATAGGCCCTGTTGAATTTGGACATTACACATCTCTGCAGGTGTGGGATTTGTAAACCTATTTAGATATCTCTGATCTGCGAAACCAAGATATATCTGGAAAGGTGAATATTTTTGTAGTTCAGTCATACCATCATTTTCTCCCTACACACTCTATGTCACGTTTCCGGTTCCATCAAAGTATTTTTTAATAAAACTGATCTTGCATTGGCCGGTTAAAACTGCGTGCGCAACTAAATGGTCAAAAGTCACATAACACATACTCACGTGATATTAACAAAACATTACAACGGTAATGGCTAACACTTTTTTAGAGTCATTGTAAAGGTAATTTAATAATACTGCAACTCTGGAGGTGTGGAAAATTCCCATTTAACAGGGTCTTTTTCTTCTGACTCTACTCCAGCCGACAACTGTCAAAATATCCATCAGAGAACAGAATAGAGGCAGATGTTTCGGACTAGTGTTGACCAGGCTTTATAATTTATGCGATATTACAATGAGAAATAGCCATTCATATCTGGTTCATTAATCTTTAGGACGTCATGCATGGAAAAATTTCCTCATCAACAAAAATAAACATATTGTAGTTTATCATTTGAATAGAAGATAATGTTGACGGGGATATATAAAAAAAGATGAAAAACTGGACATGTTGAAAGTTGGTAAAATGGAAATACTCGGAGAGAGAGAAATTAGCAGCTCTGATCTAGAAGAGATTGTAAACAAGGCCAAAGACTGGGCTCTTGCTCACGGTAAATATTATATTTTATATTCGTTAATACCTCGCAATTCACATCAATTATTTTATTTAAAACATATCATTATGTATCAGTTAAAAATAGCGACTATTCGAAGAAAAACTCTCACTGAGCAGTATCGACCGTGAAAGTTCAGATTGTTTATACCTCGCAATTCACATCACAAGTTTATTTAAAACATATCATTATGTATCAGTTTGAAAATCGAAGAAAAAAAACGAGGATATACATTTTTCGTCACAAGTGTACACAAAGTGGGACTGAATGGTCAAGGCTAGTAAAGCATGCGTATATATTTTGGGGAGGGAGGGTCTCAAGGTAATAATAGACAACAGTACATCTCTGATCTGACGATCAGGGACATACACTTGTAAAATTTGTTGATACATTGTATCAGGGCGGTCTGAGAGTCTGACCACCGGACACTGCTTGGGAGCGACAGCAAGTACCCTAGCTCCGATTACTAAAAGTTTTTGATGAATATTGAAAAACAAAAACAAAATTTTCTAATCAAATCATCGAAATATTTCACAGCCTTAAAGGTGCGTCATTTTGGAGGTTGATGTTAATCTTGAATATATGTAAATAGTCTTCAGAAGTACTAGAAATGTACAAAAATATCATAATTCCTTTAAAAAATCTGAAACTGGGAATTTTACTCATTATTTCTATATACATCTTTTCTATATATTACAGAGTACCTTAAACTGATGAGTTGCAACAATTTGATATTTTAATGTTCAAACACGGAGAATTCTGGACACACATGGGTTTGAAGGTCCAAATTTCTACGGTGAGCTTAAGAATAACAAGTTGTGGTTGTCTCATTTTTTTGGCTGAGAAAGAGTATTTTCAAGGACAGTTGGGCATAGGATTTTGGCCACGGGCCATTCAGTCAACCCCTGCTTTAAACTGGTAATCGACTGAAGCAAACAATTTCCTTAGCGATATTAATAATGACGTTCTATTAGAAGCTAGATATCGGGTTCATATGAAAGGGGTCCCTGTTCGATCAGAATTTGCGAGCAACTGGACTTCTAGAAACTGGTTCTTTATGATCATTCACTGGATTAATTCGGCCTGAGAATTCCATGATATTTCACATTACTAGCTCATGTTGTACCTATTAACAAAAAACAATTCGTCGACCTGAACTATTGGAATCTGTAATAATCCATTTGATCTCAGTAACGAGTAGTCAAATTCTCAATTAGTGCTTTGATAGACAAGGTGAAATGGTTTGAATCGTCAGAGCTCACCATGAAGGTCGCCGATTATTTGACACAATTTAAATCATGTACATTATTAGATCAAAAATGATCAATGGACTCGCAAATTAGGATAACTGTTTTTATTGAACCTAAACCTCAGTGATCATCTTCATCCTTCAAAATGTCAAGCTATCACCAACTGTAACTAATACCTACAATACGAATACAGCCAAACAGAGCCCCGCCAAATTGTTTACAGTTTTTCTGCCCAGGGCCCTGATTAGCTGTATTAGCTAGCGTACAATCCAATCGATCACCGCCTTTACTAACTTCCATGATACAAGAAAGTCAAGGTATTAGACTTAAAGACCAAAGCACGTAATTTTATCGTACACATAGTAACATGTTAATTTTCACACCTACCACAAAGTTTGATTGAAATAATGATTTATAAACCTGATAAATTGTCCCGAAGCACAATTTTATGAAGACAGTTAGAGCGTTGGGATTCAACTTAATTTTCTTTGTTACCTGGAAGAAATTGTCTAATCTCGGCAGATGAAAGCCTGGAGACCTTGAAACAATCATCGTTCTCCATTATTCTAATGAACCCGGCTGTAAATAGTAAGGAATAATCTAGGAAGGATCAGAGACGAGTGCGTGAACCCGAGTTGTTATTCTTGAGAAAAATGGTTGCTTGTTTGCTTGTTTCTTTCTATCAAATTCTAAACTAACGGTGAACTCTCAACAATTCTAGTTTTTATTGGTAAGAAAACGACACCCGTCTCTACCCGTACATTACGACCCTGTTTAAAGATGGGTTTCCTTATTTTTGAGTGTCAAATAAAGCAAACTATTTGATTTATTTGTGTTTCTTACGAATTAGCATGTATTATTAATCATATCATTATGTTCTTATTGCATATAATTATGAGTTTTAACCAATCATAAATGTCCATGTATTTACAGTCTAGATAAACAAAAAATAATTTTTGACCTTTCTTGATCGGTCACTCATTGGAATTCTGCTAATTATTCTTCTAATTTAGCTAATTAGGAATTAATTATGGACATGTGAGACAAACTGGTATTTTTTCAAGTCATTAGAACACCTCTACGTTCTATCTACGTATTAGCATTTTCATTTTCATAAATGAAAATAGAGGAACCCATCTTTAATAATTGGTATTGAATTATTTCAGGAATATCTCTGAGACCAAGTCACCGTGATGAAGATCAAGATAAAGTGACTTATCTTCCCTTCACTTTGTTTCCAACCCAAGTTTCCCACCACCTTCTTCAACATGCCAGGCTATCCATGATCCATTTTAACAGATTGATACACAGAGTTTCTATGGATCACCAGTTTCTCCAGGAAGCTTTTAAAAAGTTTGTATTATCTTGTGTTCGTCGACACGAAATTATCATGCCCTATCTACATAAAAAAAACAATACATTCAGCGTTTGCAATTGAATCAGATAGAGTGTGCTGGACAGCTATCTGCAAATAGACCAACCAGTTTACTACTCCATCCCAAATGATCGTGTTCCTTTTCATTTGAATCAGATTGAGCTAGAGGTGTATTGAGTGTTGACTGAAACTCGGCCCAATCTTATATCCCCAACCAATATAATCGCGTTCCTTGCTATGACATATTTCAATGAATTTGAGGTATAAAATGAAACAAGATATTATTTCAATTTTTTGGTTTGTAATTGGAGTCGTAGATACCCTGAACCCTCTTACCCCTTAAACCACCCGCCCCCCCCCCCCCTCCCCCAACGTATTACTTACTCGGAATCTGTAAACCGAATGCAAACATGATACGCTTACAGAGAGGTAACTCTATTGAATGAAGTTTTTATATTTGTAGTCTGTAATAATATATTTTTATTTATCGTTGTAGTGTTATTCAAGTTGATGATTTTACCAGGAACCTATGGAATATTTATTTGGCTGTTAAAGACGACCCACAAGCGCAGGTTAATAAATATGATATCAGTTATTAACTTGGGGTGGGAGCAAGTTCAAAAAGGGGGGGGGGGGGGGGGCGTGGGGGGGTTGATTGAAACTCTGACCAATTGATTTTCTATGTTCCTACCCAAAATAATCGCATTCCTTTCTATGACATCGGAGTCGTAGATACCCTGAATCCTCTGGGCTCTGGGAACTAGTATGACGCCAAAATAATGCCACAAATGTAAGAATTTAGAATAAAAATATCAGTCCTTCCCACGTGGTGCGTGACTAAGGGTGTTACTGGATTCAGGTGGAATGATGATATCACAAATTTCAAAAACAAAACGAATAACTAAATGAGTGCACTGCTCAATGCGTTTTAGGCTTGGGATGAACTATCAGGAAACATTAGAGCCACAGAGAAGTTCCAATCATTTAAATCCTCACTCACAACGTTTTTATCAAATAAGTTATTATTTTACACGGATAAACTGAACAAATTTTATTATATAGCTTTTGGTGTGCATGTTCCTCTCCCCTGATATGCAATATAACAAAGGAGTATATAATGTATGTTTAAAAGCTTTAACACCACTTCTTTTCATTTCCCATGGGACAATACTCTTTACTTTTGAGAAGTTGAAGCATAAGGATACATTTTGTCTTTTTCCCCCTTTACTTTTCAGTCGATTTATCTGGGTTCGTTCAGGAATGATTTTATGTTTCAATTGGAAGAGGAAAATAACCAGAGTTTGAAACAGGTGGAATTTAATACCATTTCAGTCGCAAAGTGTGGACTGTCTTCAAAAGTACCTGGGCTATATAGGTATGTACATGGACAAATCGTCGAGTTGTTCAGATGGGACAATAAACCCCAGGCCCAAAGCCCCAGACCCAAGGCCCCATGTGCTACGGACCATAAGAGATGGAAATCGAAAATGAGCAGGCTAATGCTTCTGATCCCTTTCTTTTCCTGTCAAAAATTCCCCTCTTTGGCAACTAAATGACGCTGTCCGTCATCATTGACCAAAGAGACCGAAAAAGTTCATTTCTTTTCACGTCCTTTCATTTCCTTTTAAATAAAATTATCGGTTCCTCTTTATCTGTTCTTCATCTGTTCTTCATCTGTTCTTCATCTGTTCTTCATCTGTTCTTCATCTGTTCTTCATCTGTTCTTCATCTGTTCTTCATCTGTTCTTCATCTGTGCACTTCAAAAGACTGTTGAAGATAGTATATGTTATTTTGATGTTTAAAATAGCCCCCTCAGTTAGGGTCTAACTACAGCCCTCTTGAAATATTCCTCATTATATGGTATTGGTTTTAAAGGTATATTTCAAACTGTGTGGGTCTGTTTCTATATGTCTTTGTAAATATATCAATATATATAAATATGTTATTGATAAAACTACTACTACTAATAAGCCATTTATAATTTCATGAGGTGCCTCCGTTACCCCCAGTGTGTGCTGGAATCGCTTCACTCTCAGTGTGAAGTATCAACGTACAATTCACGATTAGCAGAACTAATTGCGATTGATTAAAAAAAAAACATGAACGAGCTAATTGCGATTGATTAAAAAAAAACATGAACAAAATTAAGGCCAGGTTCCATTCTATAGAAATGCCAGGCTCCATACTGTAGAAGAATGCCCAAAGCACTTGTTTGCATCTCTATTTTTAAAATATTATAGGTATATTTTAAACTGTGCTGGTCTGCCTTATAAAGGTGAACAGGTAGGCTACATTTCAATCTATAAATACAAATACAAGAACATGGAAAGGTGTTTAGTTGTTCAAATATGACAAAGGCATTTGTTTATGTATATCGGGGACAGCATTGATTTGCACTTTTCCTAATTTTCAGTCCGACGTCTTTGGCTCTTGTAAGGCCCTTACATAAATAAAGTACTAACTATCTGAACCGCAAAACGAAATCCAAAATCCAAAACAACATTTTTGGTGAAGGGTTGGTAGCAGCCAATGAACTTTTCACATGAGCATGTATATCAATCATAACTCAGTATTTAAAGTGGTATCATGTGTCAAGAAGAGTAAGCATACCCCACATTGCACCACAACTATCATAACTGCTCAACATAACGCAAATGTCCATGTTCATTTCCAGTTTTGTCTTGGGTTTGTAGATACTGTGTCTTTGAACCGCATCTTTCAAACCTTAGATTTGATCAACAATGGGCCTATTTACTAATAGTTATCTTGATTCTAACAGTTGTGTTTCTGGATGATTTGATTGTTCATAATAATTCAATATTTTCCCCTCTTCCCACAGGATTTAATGTGGTAACATCGAATCTTTTAATGTCAGGGGATGAGTTAACATCTTTAAAGCTGGTCTTGAGCTTGAATAAATCCTACTCCCCTCCATAGAAAAATAAGAACATGAAATGCAGTAGAGTAGAGTAGGGTTGGGCTCGCAGCACTTGCACTGATCTTTGGCTTCTTTTTTCATATGAATATTTTAGTATGTCTTTTTGTGGTCACGTTCTTGATCACATCAACAAAAACTGTGTATTTGTAAACAAATTGTACTTTTCTTCCTTTATCATTTCGTTGTATCATTGTATATTGTTAGACAGCATCGTGTCTTTGTATATTGGACCTAATTCTGGCCCTTGTCAAATATATAATCATTAAACTTCTTAAAAATTATTTTAATTGTCTGTACCCTAATTCTCTACCCTACCACATTCCAGCTATAAATTTGTGATATGATATGGACTGCTAATCACTACTACCTTTTATCTTTCTTCAGATTCCAGAAAAAGACGTCGCGAAAGGACAGGTCGCTGCCTTTATGAAGGCCTGGAAACTTTATGACAACCCCAAGTAAGTTTGGTATGCCCTTGTCCCCTGTCAACACTGGTTACTTGGGAAGCCCCCTGTAAAAATACAGATTTTAGCCTACTGTGTCAACAGTTCATGATTTTGATTCGAATTATTCTCTTGATACCAGAGATGTCTGAATGAAAAAAAGAGGACTGGCGAGTGAGGAAAGAAATTTCGCACTTCAAATTCTGTTATATTTGCATTTGCACTTTACCGGGATAAGCTTTCTAATTATATATTGCTTTGATTGATTGAGCGAAATATCTGCAATTAGATGGAATAGAGTCTCAGTGGCGGCGACAATGCCCCCCTAGAAAAATGATATGCATACCAATTGTAGTCTCACTTTATTTAAACAAAAAATTGATTTTTATACATTTTTGCCACAATATAATTCACCAAAATCAATTCAATTATTCTAAATGGCTTGGGAAAAACCTCCCAGGCGCTCTGTGAGAGGCATGCGACTACGACGCCTCCACAGAGTTGCAACATTTTGAACTTGTCCTCGCCAGTTGCTTCCCCATTGAGTCAGTCTGCCCCATATTTAAACCCACAGTTCCAGAAGGTTTACGCTGCCACTGTAGTCTCTACTTCCACAGAAACTTTGTTATCTGATCTTTATATTCAGGGCCATTATCGTATTTGTGGTTCTTCATAATGAACGCTACGCCATGGACCAACGCTTGATGGAATTTGAAATTTATAAACAGAATCCTAACATCCGAGTAGTGAGAAAAACGTTTAATGATTTAATTCGGTATGGGAAACTGACCAAAAACAGAAAATATCTTGTGTGAGTAATACTTTGTAGCAATCTATATATTTACTATACCAGCTGATAGAGCTCAATTTCAACTATCTGTATAGTCATCTAAATATCTACTTTACCAGCTGATAGAACTCAATTTCAGCTATCTGTATAGTCATCTAAATACTTTACTTTTCCAACTGATAGAGCACAATTTAAGCCATCATTATGAGGTTTTGGAATGAATTTCCTACTATATCGAAACAATTTCATCCTTCTGTAGTCATAATTATATAACACACTGTTTACAGTAATTTAAAACTTGATAATTTCTATTTCAGTGACACAGAGGAAGTGGCTGTAGTTTATTACAGAGCTGGATATAATCCTACAGAATATAGTACTGATCAGGTACCTTGTTCAACTTCATTTAGGATCGAATGGACGAGTATTGTCCGTCAGTCAGTACTGATCCCATTCTGATTAAACTTGGATGCGTGTATTGGCTAGAGTTCGATATTTGCGAAATTACGATGAACTGTTTTTGTTTTTGTCCTTGACTTAGCCAAGTTTAAATTTTACTGTGAGTACGATAGAGACTACATTGTATACTAGTGAGATCTCGGACGAGTTGTTTCTAGAATTGTTGAAGAACTACTTTTTAATTATTGCTCCTGATTGAACCAAACTACAATTGTGCGATCACTCGGTAAAGGAGAAACACCTCGCCTACCAGCGCATAATGCCGATAGTAAGAACTTTTAAATGTTTTAACTTCTATTTCTTAAAATTTCAGATCTGGAAAGTGCGACTAGAAATTGAGCAAGGTAGATGTATAAAATGTCCACCGATTCATTATCAACTCGCAGGAACCAAGAAAATACAACAACTATTATCAGAGCCACGAATTTTAAACAGAGGCAATATAACTTAGATTTAGTAAGTTTTAAGGACCCTTCGGGCCCGTAGTCAGAGGTTACTTTTGGGAGGAGCAAGTAATATTTCCGGGGGCGCAATGGTGTATGATGTTAAGTTGCAGTAACGGAATTGGTCGGTTTCTGGTGGGAGAAGGGGTGAATCCTTTTTTTCAGGACAACATTGCCTCCCCCCCCCCCCCCCGTAGCCACGATTCTGTCATCCATCCGAGCGTAGAATAATATGCTCGTCTGACGTACTGTGCTGCTAATAGACGTACTATGTCTGCCAGGGTTGCGTGGAATATGGACGTCAGGCGAGAGACAGACAGACGTTATTAGGTATGTAGACTCCTCGAGTTGACAAACCCAATCGGTTTTAATTCTGGACTGTGATACTGAAATTAGATTCTTCCTGTCCAAGTTGTTGTAACATTGCTTCTGGTTTTAATTTGTCAGGTAGAAAAAGGTGACAGAGCTATTAAAATGGCGATAAAAAACCCAGACCAGTTTGTGTTGAAACCACAGAGAGAGGGAGGAGGTACGAAACCTTGTATTTCCTGAATCATTTCCATCGACAAGTTGTAAAGCCCGAAAAATTCGCAAACCCAGAAGTTTCGTATTTTTTTGCGGGTGACTACATTTTTCATGATCCATAATCTGACAAGATTTTTCAAAAATCGTGGATGTAATTTGATCTGTGCTAACCAATCAAAACACTAATAAAGTGATTAGACAACTCAATGAATATCCTAGAAGGTGATCTTTTATTGAACAGAACATTTGATTGGTTGCAATTTGAATTTTCAGAACAGGAGATGAATAACAAGTTTGTCAGATCATGATCATGGTGACAAGTGTAATCGCAAACAGAAAAACACGAATGAAATGAAATGTCTAGTTACTAACTTTCTATCATTCTTTTTGCGGAAACCGCACTTATAAGGACAGCTTCGTTTTCGGGGTTTGATTTGGGTCATGAATATACGTAAATAATCTTCAGAACTAATAGAAATGTACAAAAATCGCATGATTCCTTCAACAATACCTGAAACTAGTAATTTACATTTCTATACATGTCTTAATATATATGTCTTTTCTATATAGGTCTTCTCTATATAGGTCTTTTCTATATAGGTCTTTTCTATATATAGGTCTTTTCTATATATGTCTTTTCTATATGAGTCTTATCTATATAAGTCTTTTCTATATAAGTCTTTTCTATTTATGTCTTTTCTATACATGTCTTTTCTATATATGTCTTTTCTATATATGTCTTTTCTATTTATGTCTTATCTATATAAGTCTTTTCTATATAAGTCTTTTCTATATATGTCTTTTTTATATATGTCTTTTCTATACAGGTCTTTTCTATATATGTCTTTTTTTATATATGTATTATCTATATAAGTCTTTTCTATATAAGTCTTTTCTATATATGTCTTTTCTATTTATGTCTTTTCTATATATGTCTTTTCTATATATGTCTTTTCTATATAAGTCTTATCTATATATGTCTTTTCTATATAAGTCTTATCTATATAAGTCTTTTCTATATATGACTTATCTATATATGTCTTTTCTATACAGATCTTTTCTATATAAGTCTTTTCTATATATGTCTTTTCTATATATGTCTTTTCTATATATGTCTTATCTATATATGTCTTATCTATATAAGTCTTTTCTATACATGTCTTTTCTATATATGTCTTTTCTATATATGTCTTTTCTATTTATGTCTTATCTATATAAGTCTTTTCTATATATGTCTTTTCTATATAAGTCTTTTCTATATAAGTCTTATCTATATATGTCTTTTCTATATATGTCTTTTCTATATATGTCTTATCTATATAAGTCTTTTCTATATATGTCTTTTCTATATATGTCTTATCTATATAAGTCTTTTCTATATGTCTTTTCTATATATGTCTTATCTATATAAGTCTTTTCTATATATGTCTTATCTATATAAGTCTTTTCTATATATGTCTTTTCTATATAAGTCTTATCTATATATGTCTTATCTATATATGTCTTTTCTTTATATGTCTTTTCTATACATGTCTTTTCTATATAAGTCTTATCTATATATGTCTTTTCTATATAAGTCTTTTCTATATATGTCTTTTCTATATATGTCTTTTCTATATATGTCTTTTCTATATAAGTCTTTTCTATATATGTCTTTTCTATTTATGTCTTTTCTATATATGTCTTTTCTATATATGTCTTTTCTATATATGTCTTTTCTATATATGTCTTTTCTATATATGTCTTTTCTATATATGTCTTTTCTATACAGGTCTTTTCTATATATGTCTTTTGTATATATGACATAATAAGGCTCTTAAGAGAAGACGACAAGTTTATCTTTGAAACGCGGATAATTCTGGACACACAGATGGATGATGAATCTGTCTCTCTAAGTAAATGAATATAGTTTTTATTTACTGCTTTTCTTCTAGTCAGTCTGTCTGTAAATCCGACATCTTGAAATGATCAACAAAATTCCGTTTTAATTTTCTTTTCCAGGGAATAATTTGTATGGAAACAGCATGAAAGAATTTCTAGAAAGTATCCAGGACTCGGAGGAACGCTGTGCTTATATTTTAATGGATTTAATCAAGCCAGTTAAAAGTTGGAATTATTTAGTAAAACCTAACAATGTATTAAAACCTGTAGAATGTGTAGCGGAGCTGGGAGTATACGGTTGTTTTATAGGGTAAGGCTATAATTTTTTATTCATCTTTATTTAGCCATATCTACTGGCTCTTATTCGCCAAGTTTAAAATTCTTAAATTTTATGTTAATTCTAAGACGTAGTATCACTTTAATTTCTATCGACGTTTCTTCTATGCATACCAATATCGATAACACTACTGGTTTAACGGCAGTTCGTAAAGCTTTTAAATAGAAACCCAGATCCAAACAGACCCGACAATGCAATTCTACAGCTTTTAGTTATTTGTCTCAGTCGAAACGATTTCACATTTAATGATAAAACATTTACAAACTTCAGGGACAGCTATGGGCAAGCGATTTACCCCATCGTACGCAAACCTTTTCATGGCAGATTGGGATCAAAACATAGTACTTCTGGAGACCATTGATATATATTCAGGAAATCAACCCCTAAAAATGGCGAAACAGTCGTTATTTTTATATTATCCTATATTTCAGCCAGAAGAACGGAGAGATCTATAACACAGAAACTGGGTTTCTTATGAAAAGTAAAGTATTTGGTTGTGATGAAGGAGGGATTAGAGCAGGATTTGGTGGATTAGATTATCCTTTCCTATTTGATATCTGATAAATTCTCATCATAATGTGTTTATCATACCGTATTGTATGGGTATGGCCTAGAGTAACACCTAAGTTAAGGTTGAGTGTAGATGTAGGCGTAAGTGTATGCCTAGAGTAAGACCTAGGGTAAGGCCTATAGTAAGACCTAGGTTCGCGTTTAGTCTAGATGTAGGTGTAAGTGTATGCCTAGGTAAGACCTAGGATAAGGCCTATAATAAGGCCTGGGTTAGGGTTAAATAACTTAGCGTTTAGACCTAGGTTTAAGATTAGGGTAATAGCTAGCGTAAGGCCTAGAGTAACACCTAAGTTAGGGTTAAGTGTAGATGTAGGTGAAAGAAGTGTATGCAAAGGGTAAGACCTAGGGTAAGGCCTATAACAAGGACTTTGTTAGGGTTTAGTAACTTAGGGTTTAGACCTAGGTTTAAGCCTAGGTTAGGGTTAAATGTAGATGTAGGTGTAAGTGTATGCCTAGGTTGAGACCTAGGGTAAGTACTATAGTAAGACCTACGTTAGGGTTATGTTACTTAGGGTTTAGACCTAGGTTTAAGCCTAGGTTAAATTTAGTGTAGATGTAGGTGTAGTTGTATACCTAGAGTAACACCTACGTTAAGGTTGAGTGTAGATAGTGTAGAGGGTAAGACTTAGTGTAAGGCCTATAGTAACATCTAGGTTATGGTTAAGTGTAGATGTAGGTGTAAGTGTAGGCATAGGGTAATACCTATTGTAAGGCCTAGAGTAACGCCTAGGTTAGGGTTAAGTGTAGATGAAGGGGTAAGTGTATGTCTAGGGTAAGATTTGGCGTAAGGCCTATAGTAACACCTAGGTTAGGGTAGGTGTAAGTTTAGGCCTAGGGTTAGGGTTAGACCTAGAGCAATTGGGCACCATCAACAGGTAAAATAAATATTTAGACAACTATACAGATAGCTGAAATTGAGCTCTATCGGATAGTAAAACAGATATTTAGACAACTATACAGATAAGAAACACTATTATGGATATACTACTCCTTCCTTTAATCACATTAAGAAATTTGCCCTACTTATTGCTGAAAAGAAGAAGAATTCCACAAGATCCGTCAACACCAATAATGACATAGCCGCATATATCAAAAAGACTGTTATCAATCTATCCTCCCATCCACAAACGACAGATCAAATCAACCTGCTCGCCAAAGGCCTCAACTACATCCCTACCAATAAGAAAATACCGAAAGGAACCTTTATAAGTGATAACAACTAGCTCCATGTGGTAACATCGAATCCATACGTCATCAAATTAAACAGGTACTACAAAAAAATAAGCTTAAAACACCAAATTTGACCAAAAATGAAAATAAGGCTATTAAAGAATTGAAAGAAAATCCAAACATCTCAATTGTACCAGCTGATAAAGGTAAAGCTACTGTGGTGTTAGATCGTGATCATTTGAATCAACTTTTACACTAACAGATGAATCTACCTATAGAAAAATAACTAGAGACCCTACTTTAAGACTTGACCGTAAACTCGAATCAATCTTAAAAGAGCTCAAACAAAATAATGAAATCGACAAGAATCTGCATGACACCCTACTGCGCCATATGCTAAAGCTCAAGTTAAAATACATAAAGATCCGTTCTTCTGCTGGTTTGTTCTCGTGGTAGTGCTCTATATAATACATCTAAGTACCTTGCTAAACTTCTCGCACGCTTTGGTAAAACAGCCTCTTCCTATATCCGTGACTCAACTAGTTTCTGTGAAGACATTAAATCAAAATATAATTCCTATATAATAATATAATTAGTTATGATGTGGTCGATTTATTCACTAACATACCGTGCGATGAAGCCCTTCAACTAGTTAAATCCAAAATTGAAAGCCAACCTACTGCCATCTCTATAGTATAATAACTCGCCTAGACTCCACCTACTTCACCTGGAAATCGGATGTGTATGAACAACTGTCTGGCCTCCCAATGGGATCCCCAATCAGTCCTCTTATTACAGAAATATATATGTCTGAATTCGAAGAAAATGCCCTCAGAACAGCACCATTCCAACCCTTAACCTGGCTACGAAAAGTCGATGATACTTTTGTTGTTTTAGAAAATGATCATGACCCAAGAGAACTACTAAACCACCTCAACACCATCCATCCAAGAAAAAAAATCTTGTTTTTAGATGTGATGGTTGACAGAAACTCGGGCACCATCCAAACCAATATATACCGAAACCAACCCATACTGATCAGTATATTAATTACCACTCAAACCATCCTACAAAAATCAAACAAGGCATTGTTTCAACGCTAACCCACAGAGCCCATAATATTTGTGAAAATCACCTCCTGAATGCTGAACTAGACCGCCTTTATCAACAATAACCATTACCCACCTAAATTAGTTAATGACACGATTAACAGAACCATACATCAACAACACCAGCCAATCCAGAAGAATAACGCCCCTACCAGAATCGTTATCCCTTATGTTGGAACTGCTAGCCATCAAATTAAAGGAATCCTTACTAAAAACCTTAATATTGATATAGCCTTCAAAAGCAAACCAACTCTACAAAACCACCTACAAGCGGATGGCAGAATTGACAAACCAACAGCAGATCCCAAAGGCGTCATATACAAACTCCAATGTAGCTGTAAGAATACCTATATTGGAGAAACTTCGCGACCTATTTCTGTAAGACTTAAAGAACATAAATCAGCATGTAATAAGCTAGATATAGATAAATCAGCCATAGCCGAACACATCCACAATCACCCAAACCACAATATTAGATGGGAACCACAGATATTAGTCTCTAACCTGCCAAATTGGAAAGACCGAGTCATACGTGAAGCTATCGAAATAAGAAAATATAAACCAAAATTAAATAGGGATAAAGGACACTTTCTGCCATATGTGTGGGATGAATTGATCCTATAACTTCACTTCCAGCTTCTCTTTCCATCATAATCGCGTCATAATCTGAATCTGCTCTATAATCCATTTGTAATCTTAATCCTTATTCCTTTAATTGACCATTACTTTCTTTAATTGACCATTACTTTCTTTAATTGACCATTACTTTCTTTAATTGTTCATTATTACCTTGTAGTTCTTCTTTATTCACCATTGCTTATTATGTTATCTTTAATCTGTTGTTTTTGTATATTTATCACTAATCTTAGGGAGTTATAGATGTCACTATTTACGATGTATATATTGTTGTTGTTCTGTTTTCTATCAATAGACTCATTGCTTGGTAAAAAATCTAATTCTTCCATTCCAACTCTTTGTTACAGGGATTCCACAGAATACAGCAATGAAGGAAAAGCCAATTTGTTAGCCAAGTGTTGTGCTGACGGCAGTGCTGATACCAACCATACCAAAGAATTTCTAAAGAACAAGAAGACCTTCTACACCAACCACACTCCAATTCATCATTCGCCCTTAGAGGATGAACGGGATCTTAACGCTCCCTTCACCCTCGACGAGCTGAAGAAAGCACTGTACAGTAAGAAAGACATCGCTACTGGTGAAGATAATATCAAGTACAGCATGTTAAAGGAGTTACCAATGGAAGCGTCTACAGTTCTACTAGAATTATTCAACAAATCATGGTATAATTCCGGAAAGTTGGAAAACGGCAATGGTCATTCCTCTACCAAAACCGCAGAAAGATAACAGTCTATGCAGTTCATACAGGCCTATTTCTCTGACCTCGACTCTATGTAAAACATTTGAGACGATGGTCAATAATAGACTTAGATACCACTGTGAACTAAATGGTCTTATCGATCCCAACCAAAGCGGCTACAGAGAGAAACGGTCAACAATGGATCAAATCGTCGACTTCAACACGACATGGCCGCCCAACTCGGAAAGAAGAACTACTTCAGTGCAGTATTCCTGGATCTGTCCGAGGCCTTTAACTTAGTCTGGGTTGATGGTTTGCTTTTTAAACTTAATAAACTTGGCATTCGGGGTCGCATGTTCAGGTGGATCCAAGACTTCTTAAGGGATCGCCAGATACAAGTGAACGTCGCCAATTCTCTCAGCGAGAAGCACTCGTTGGAGAATGGCACCCTGCAAGGCTCTGTTATTAGCCCTACCCTCTTCAGCATTATGATCAATGATCTGGCCCTGGATTATGTAAAGCATATAGAGCTCTCGGTTAGCACGGCTCTATATGCAGATGACAGTTCGATATGGACTGGTCACAATGACCTCAATAATGTTAAATGGCGTATGCAAACTGCTCTGAACCAAGTTGCTAAATGGGCAAACGACTGGGGCTTCATTATTTCGGAAGCTAAAACCGTCGGTTTGTTTTGCAGCAGAAAGAAAGATCACGACAGTATTGACCTTAGACTGAATGGTGTGAAGCTTAAGCATGAGAATTCAGTAAGGTTCCTGGGAGTACACTTTGACAAGTGTCTGACTTGGAGTACGCACATTGACTATATCTGTAACCGGTCAACAAAAATCTTAAATGTTATGCGTTATGTTTCAGGTACCACATGGGGAGCAAACAGAGAAACTCTAATGATCATGTACAGGTCACTGGATCGCTCAGTTATTGATTATGGTTGTATTGCCTATGGTAAAGCAAGTGATACTCAACTGAAGAAACTCGACGTTCTACACATGAAAGCTATACGTATTGCCACCAGGGCAGCCATAGGTACGAAGAATGAGGCGCTACTACAGGAGGTGGGAAAGAAACCCCTCTCTCTTCGGAGGGAGGAACTATCTCTCAAATTCTGGGGGCAACTTCAGTATTTGTCCGAAAGCTGCCCGACGTATTCCAGCATCAGAAGATTTACTCGTGTCGGAAATAACCAGAAGAATCGGAGTATTTCTTACGGGCAGGCGGTTACTGATCTATTGAGAGAGCATCAGCTCGATCAAGTAACGATCCTTGAACGCCGCCTATCGGCTACTCCGTTTTGGAAGGTTACCAACCCGACAGTCAACACCCAGCTGATCCAGAGTACCAACAAGCACGAGAACCCAATGGGAGCAAGAGCTCGCGCTCTTGATCTCATTGATTCCGTGTACGCCGACCATTTGAAGATCTACACCGATGGTTCCAAAAGTAGTACCGCAACAGGTTACGGTGTGTGCATCCCAGCAAAAGGCATCCGCATCAGTAAAAGGATCCCCCCGCACTGTTCAGTGTTCACAGCAGAACTCTTTGCCATCAGGGACGCGTAGCATGGCTGTCCGTCAATCACACGGAGCATGCCGCTATTCTATCCGACTCGCTAAGCAGCCTCCAATCTATTTTTCTCACCTCTTCTAATTGCAGGTCAGAAGTTATTTCCGAAATAAGAAGAATGATCCACAACTACCAAACCAACAACGACCAGAAGATTGAATTAGTATGGGTTCCATCGCACGTCTCCATTCCTGGCAATGATCAAGCAGACCGTTGTGCCAAGGAAAGTCGGAGTCTGGAGGATATCGAGTCTGTAGAATACTCCTATTCGGAGTTCTGCAGTATCGTATCTTCTAGGATCAACCAGAAATGGGCCGACATGTTACGGAACCTCGACACCGCAAGATACCAGATTGATCCGAAGGTACCAAACCAAACCAAACCAAACCATCCATGTGT